ATTTGATATATAAAGGTAACTTCTATATAGAAAGTTTTCGCACAAAACGTACCATTTGACAGTTTAAAAAGGATGATAATAAAAATCAAGGTAAAATCTATATCTTAATTAGAAAAGAACATCACCTTATGTTCTGCCTAGTGGCCCATTTTTGTAATCCAAATATACTATCCATTAATCCAAGGCCAGCAACAGAAAGTCAATCTCATAAAAAGAAAAGGGTGGACTGAAGTGAACCTGCCCTGGGTCATCAGACTCATCAGAGCCACTTGAAAAGAGAAAGACCAACTCCAATCTCTAACCTGCATGTCCATTTGTGCATGCATCGCCATTGCAAAACCAAAGCATATGCATCCTCTGCAAACTGCAAACTGCAAGCACGGTTGGCAAACAAAGGAGGAGTAAAATCTGCAGGGAAAAATCACAGCGGCCATATGTATTTACTTGGCTTTGGTTCTTGTGTAGGGACTGGCTTTATACCTTGTCTTGAATAGTGGGTCAGCTATTGGCAGAGCCCAGTTACGCAGAGAAGCACATATATGGTCCCTGGGAGAGGCGTATATGTCACCATGTATGCCAGCCAGCCTACCATACTGCGTGCAACAACCCACAGGTTCAGAAAAGATTCAGATAACTCTGTGTCAGACTCTGCCTAATCAAGATAAAAATTACTTGTCACTTTTCACATTCAGATATATATAATCCTAGCTTAGCACTGAAACAAGAAAACATCAAAATTCTGCTTCCAATATATCCTCATGATACAAATAGCTTGCATGATTATTACATGGCTACTCTGTGTTTCCTGCATTGGACAACTTTATACTATGTGGCAAGTGTATTGGCAGTACATTACCAAGGGTTGCCAAGGAAAAGTTAAAGGGTTATAAAACATAAGAAGACAGAAATTAAATGTAAATCTGTGGTACAGCAAGGCTGTATTAATGGTACAATATATGTATATCGTAATAATCTCCCCTCCAGGATGCATGAGCAATTTGTACATATTGGACCACCAAGTACACCTTGCTCTAATGGAACTACACTATTGAGTATTTGAGGCATCATTGCCCTCCAGCTATGCAAAAGTTTGTGTGTGGTTCATCAGATGATTGAAAATTTGAGGTCGCCAAATGAATCTTTTAGCAGCAATATATCTCAAGTAGTATCCATGTAAAAGATGATCCACAAGATATTGTCTGAACTCTCTGAATCCATTTCTTTTGTAGTGCCTAAAGAAAGTTCAGTAATCAGCATCACTGAATCCTGTACTGTGTTTCTTTTAGCTGATTAATAAATAAACTTGGATGGTGAAAGTGAACACACAAAATGAGACAGTTCAATTAAAACCCTACCGTGCACAGGTGTCTGCCTTGATGACGCTACAGTGTACAAAATGAAAAAAAAAGAAGAAGAAAAGAAAAACTGCAATCAAGAAACTGAATAATCTGAAAACGCTTCGCCCTGCATTAGTTAGTACGGAGTACAGATCAATTGTGAGAGTGACATACCGAAGGTTCATAAAACATGGTTAATTGGAATCATGAACACGCATATGAACTCGTCGTGGTCGTCGTCGTCGGCGGCGGCGGCGGCGGCGCGTGAGATGGCTTCGGGAGATCGGAGGCGGTGGCGACGTGGCCCTCGATTATATCGGGAGGAAGGTTGAATGGGGGCGGCATCGCGGCGGAAGCTGTGAGGAGATTTTGGAGGGATGTGGGGGGTCGCCGCCGGCGAGGCGAGGTCTCCTCTCCCGGCTCCGGCGACCGGCCGGCGAGAGGGAGATGGCTCAGTAGATCCAACGGTCCGTATTGATCTAATTTTGCGAAAAGCCCCCTGAATTTGGACCGTTACACTGGTAGTAGCTGTCCACAACTTTGCAATAAGATCCCCCAATTTGGGCGCTATCTATCGTGGCAATCCCAAAATGTTGCATTCATACATGTGGTATAGATTTTACCTCGATTTTCATTAACACATTCCAAACTGATAAATGGTGTGTTTCGTAAAAAACTTAAAATTGCTTTAAAATATCAAATAAATTTATTTTTTAAGTTTGTAACAATTAAAATTTAATTAATTATGTGCTAGTGGCTTTCTTTTTTTTTTTCATAACTTCATCTTAGTCTTAAATGAATACCAACCTTATTGGAATGCTGTCAGCAAGAGGAAATTTAACTATTTGCTACTTTTATAGGGATTAATCCATCATACACCCCCTCAATTCTTACTGTTTAAAATTTACCCCTTAACTTTAAAATCAGGAATCTAACACCCTCAACTATCAAACCATTCAATTTACATCCCTAGAACATACCGTAGTGGTTTTTCTACTTATATGGCATCTACATGTCAATATGGGTCAGCAAAATTATTAAAAGCAATAATGACCCCACATGGCATTGAGAGTTTGAGACCCTCTTCCTCATCTCTCACCTACTTTCTCCCTCTTCTTGAGATTTCCTTGATTTGACTCCACCGATAGGCTTGCTCCATCCGTCTTTGCCGACGAGGCGTTGACCACCTTCACCTTCCAACCGGCGAGGTTAAACTCCTTCTCCCCAAGTGCCTCTTCCATCTGCCGGCGAGGTAGACCTTTGGCTTCCCGCAACATCCCCGTTTCCTCGAGCACTTTCCTTCTCCATGTGCCGACGAAATTGAGCTCCTGCTCCTCGCCACATCTTGGAGTGCCTCCTCCTCTAGGTGCAGGTGAGCTCGTGAACTCCCCCCCCAAGCGTTGCAAACTAGAGCTTTGACTCCTTCCTGCGTTGCCCTCCCAAGCGCCTCCTCCTCCTCAATGTGCTGGCATGGTCGAGCTCCGTCTTCTCGATGCCCTAAGCACATGCTCCATGCACAGGCCGTTAGACGAGCTTTAGCTTAGCCTACGCCTCCTCCCCGACATGCCGGTGAGCCTGAGAGCACTCCACCTCCCCCTCTCCTCACCGAGCGTCCCCTCGATGCGTTAGCAAGGTCAAGTTCCACTTCCCCCTTTGTCCCTCGAGCTTGAGCTTACAGATCCCGCTCGGGAGAACTTCGGTGCTAGCGCTTGTCTCAAGTGCGTCGAGATAGGGGAGAAAGAGAGATCAGAGCGATGGGAAGAATGTCTAATGACTAATAGTTGGGAGGGCAGTAAGGGGGCTTGCAAAATGAACGGCATCCCTCCGCAACCGTTAGCATGTTTCAACTGATGTGCAGTACGTCATAAAAAAGGTTCTTTGTAGGGGTGGAGTTAGAACGAAATGAAGGTGGGAACCAACATCAAATTTAAGCTGATACAAGTGTCTAAGTTTGCATTGAAGAGGATGCACATATAGTGAAAATAGTTTGCATTGAAGGGTATGGTGAAAATAGATAGCTAAGTAAATATTTTTCTTGACCAGGTTTATGGACACCTTTTGCACAATAGTTCAGCCCCTGGCTCTTTGGGAGGGCGTTTTTTAAAGAGGGCGTTAGGTGTAGATTTGTAAAACTTGATAATTCTTGTAATTTTGTTTCGCATCTCGTTGATGCTGACTCTATTAGCTGAGTAATATATCTCCCTTTCCCCGCAAAAAAAGGATTTGTAAAACTTTTTAAAAAATATATTTTAGTAAATATATCTCTACTATTATAAAAATTGAAAATGTTTCAGCGGTCCGTCATCCATGTTTGAGTAGGTTATATAAAAATTGAAGATGTTTCCATGGTTCGTTATCCGTGTTTGAGTCGGTTTTAATTTTATGTTTTGGTTTTAACCTATATCTCTTCTCTACCATTATAAAAATTGAGGATATTTTTGCCGGTATTTTGATACGTCATCCATGTATGAGTCGGTTTTTAAGTTCGTTTGCTTTTGGAAATACATATCCATATTTGGGTCAGGTTTTAAGATCGTTCAGAAGGAATCATATAAGAAATCTGTTTAAAAAAACTCGCATACTAACTTGAGATGATCGGACTCCTAACTGTAGCTCATGATTTTCTAAAAAAAAATAGATATCCAAGTGAACCCCTACAGTGAATTTTAATCTTAACTAAACCATATATAAAAATAATAAGATTAAAATAGACTTCACCCATTACAACCCACAGACATTTTTTCTAATATTTTTTTAAAAAATCCGGGATGGTTGCCTGTCATGGGCTGCGGTTTGGGCCAAGAAGAACGAGGTGAAATCTGGGCCAGCGCAAGGCGACTGGCATGCGGGTGTGGGGGCAAATCGTGGACAAAAGAGCAAAATCCGGCGCCGCCGACGTGGACTCCGACACGGCCGTCGATCTCCGACTCCGACGCCATATCGGAACAGAACCTAACCTCTCGACACAAATAGCGAGAAACCCCAACCCGTTCTTCTTCTCCCCATCTCGATCGATCGCGACCACCCCAACGTCCGGAATCCACGCACGATCTAATCAACTTCTCGCAAGGTAACTAAATCCTCCGCTAATATAATTGTGTATTACTATCAGAATCAGGCTATTATCAACATGCATGTTTGTAATCTGTAATAACGTATGTGTGTACGTGCATTATGCTTCTCGGTATAACTGGAAATTAGTCAAGTCGCAAATAACACAGCATGATATGGATTTGATTGTATTTCTAATTGATCGAACATGTATCAAGGTTTTAAAATCTCCGGCTATAACTACCATTATCTTCGGAGATGGTTGTTTGAGGAGGATCTAGCTATTTTACTATCATTATACAATTTAACTGCTATAGTCTTATTTAGCCTGCTATTAGTTGTTTGATAGGGTCTACAACTAACAGGCTCATCTTTTCGCTTATGCTTATTAGTCAAAAATTTAAATTTTCAATCTTAAATTTGAAGTTAATTTTGAGGTTTTTTCATCAAAGTTTATTTTAGATCGTTAAGAACACGTATATAAAAGTTTTATTTAGAAATTATGTTTTTTTATTTGCAAATAAGCTGTTTGGTCTATTCAAAACGATGGGGCTGTAAATGTCTTGGCATGCTGTTTTAACATTGGCAATGTTTGCTACAATCTCTCTTAATCAGAAAATGCAGATCATCGTGAAGACTCTGACCGGCATCACCATCACCCTCGAGGTGAGACCATCCGACACGATCGACGACGTGAAGGCGAAGATCCAGGACAAGGTAGGCATCCGCTCCGACCAGCAGCACCTCGTCGACGTCTCCGCCGGCAGCAAGCAGCTCGACGACGGCGGCAGCACCCTCGCCGACTACGACATCCACGACGAGTCCACGCTTCACCTCGTGCAAGTCCTTCTCGGCGACTGTCGAAACTAGATTTCGGCAATAATAAAAGGGGGTGGCTATCAAGTTCGGAAAGTGTATGGGTTTGGAGACAAAGGATTTATACAGGTTCAGGCCTTCTTATGAAAGAAGTAATACCCTACTCCTGTCCGGGGATGAATCCGCCGAGTGTATTATTGATTGTATGATTCGGGAAAAATCAGCATATGCCCCTAGAGGCGCCCGGACCCCCCTTATATATGGGAAGGAGTCCGGGTTACAAAAGATAATCTATATTCCTAACGGAATATGAAGATACAGGTAAAATACAGTCGTAACCGACTAATTCTCAGGGTGTTTCCTTGATACACAAGTTAAGAAACAAACCCGAGATACAGATAAGATATTCTATCTACATTAAGTATCCTGTACCCGGTTCGAATACCATCGCCGTGTAGATATGGGATACCCATAATCTCCACAGTAGCCCCCGAGTCCTTTGCAGTCGACCATCATAGCCTTCTCAAAGATGATAATCCGAGTACTTCAAACTCTTCAAGCCAAAATCTGCCGAGTGGACTGTAAAGGGCGAAAAGATAAAGAATATGGTGCATCGAATAGATGCACCTAATTAGGTGTAGCCCCCAACTATGTGATTAGTTAACAAACTAAACATATAGTTGAAAGATAAAATAATAACACAATTGTGCATTATATGACAAAAGCATACGAGGCGCCTAAATAGGCATGCTAGCCGACTGCTTTTTAGCCATAATAAAAGGAATCCGAGTGGTTTACACTCTAAAAGGTTCACGAATGAACACACTTGACAGGCATCCGAATATAAAAACTCTAAAGATTACCCATCAAGTATTATAAAGATTACGGTAATAAATAAGTCAAATAGCCTAGGCCATGACTATTTACCATGAAAACAGGCATATAACACGCCAAGGAAATGACTATAATAAAACCAAGTCATTCCTAGTTAACCCAAACAGCTTTTGTAGCCTAAAAAAGCTTGCAAAAACAGCATAACGCCTTTCTGTCGGGCACCTTTTTAATTTGCATTGTAATAATTCCAAAGAATTATATGACCGCATAAAAAGGATTTGATCAGCATTGGGCAACACTGTTGTGCGCATAATATTGCCAAAGCAAAATATGCCTAAGTCCCTAAGGAACACAATGGGCCACGCTGTTAAAAGTATTGGGCTGAAGTACTGTTCAGGCCTAGGCCCATTAGCACTTCCGATACCCTTAACAATAAAACCCGAAATCCAAGCGACGCCTCGTCTTCCCCGCCGGAACGCTCGCCATTTTCCCCATTCCTTGCTACAGTGCAAAGCTGCGCCGGCGAACTAGGGTTCACAACTCCGGCCAAATCCACCTCCGAAAAGTGCGTCAAAATCCTTCCCGTGATCCACCGCCTCAATCCCCCACCTCTCCCAAACCATCCCTCAAATCAAATCAACACATTTGAGTGAAACCAATGGCGGAAGAGAGAGAAAGCTTCGAAGGCCAATGGGCGTCATCCGACGTAACAGAAGAGAATCTTAAGGAGTTGGTGGCGCACGGCGTTCTCCCTGCCAAGGAGATCATCGGGTGGCGACCAGCGCACGGTGAGGCTTTCCCGTCTCCGGATACTCATGAGATTGTGGTCTTCTCGCATTTCTTCTACGGCGGCTTTGCTCTTCCGACCTCAAAATTTTTCCGCGGGATCTTGAATTTCTATGGAATCAGCTTGCATCACCTAAACCCGAATTCCGTAGTGCATATCGCCAATTTCGTCCATGCTTGTGAAGCCTTTTTGGGGATCAAACCCCACTTCGCCCTATTCCGTCGGATCTTCTTCCTCAAGCCCCAACCAAACAAGAACAGACCATGTGTAGTCGGGGGGGCAGGATTCCAACTAAGGGGAACTCTGAGCCAAAAATATTTCTCAATGCCCTTCAAGACTTCGAACAAAGGATGGCATGCAAACTGGTTCTATGTTCAGAATCCTGAACCTGCTCTTCCCGGGTACTCTTGTCTTCCTCCAGTGTACCAAGATACTTGGAACTCTCTTCCAATCGGAGATGAAGCGGTACAAGCCTTGGAGTTGTTGGACCGTATGTTAAATCTTAAAGAACAAGGCTTACAAGGAGAGCAAATCACTCGGCACTTCATCAAATGCCGACTAGCGCCAATCAAGGAAAGATCCCGCACAGCATTCGAGTTCGACGGCAAACATGATCCCAACCGTGAAGAACCAGACTCCCTGGATTTCAAAATCATGAAGGAGAGGATGTATAAAATCTTCTCAAATACAATTGTAGTCAGCTACTCTCATCAGCTGCCAGTTGTGCCATATAATGCGTTCAATCCGCCTCCACAGGTATGCATCGGAAACCCTCAAACCGTGATCAGAACATAATTTTATCTTCATGCTGAGTTGACTAACTATGGAAGCATCTTGTGCAGGAATATGCATTGATGAAGTCAGATCCGCCAGTCTCTCAGCGTCGGTCTCCTCGCCAACACACCGCTCAGGGAGGTGGAGGGCCAACGATCAGACCAGATCCGCAACCTCAGACCTCCAAATTGGCTGGTCAAACAGGTCCTCGCAAGAGAAAGCTGGTACTTGATGATGATGAAGGCGACGATGATAAATATGGGGATAAGGGCTCGCCTAATAAACCCCCAAAGCGTACCATGCCCAGGAAAAAACTGGCTGGCCGTGCAATGCCAAAGATCAGGACATCTTCTAGGTATTAGACCTCTCGGTATGATTCCGTTTCGGCATGTTTTCCGGTGAAAATAATGCTAAATACTGAAAGAACACTCTGCAGGAAACCATCTGATATAGATCCATCTGGAAAAGACCCTGATCCGGCTATGACAGAGCAAAATATATCCAAGGACCCCGAGCCGACTGCTGAAAACCAGCCGACTGCTGAAAGCCAGCCGACTGGCGCCCATGCTTCGGGCGATAGAACCAATCCGAGTGACCTGCCGCCGACTGGAAACCAATCGGCAACAACTGAAACGGCAACAACTCAAGAGCCCCCGACTGGAAACCAGTCGGACGCAGGCCCTGATCAAGAGATCCCCGAAGTAGAGGCGCAGACGACGACTTCACAAGGACCAGAAACTGGTAACGACTCGATAGCTGGGTCTTCAGGTAAAGAACAAAGATCACCTCACGCTCAGCTAGGTACATCTTCAGGTTAGTTGTCTTCTCAAACAATGGCGATTTAAATAACCTCAGTGTACCCGTCTAATGTCTTGGAAACACATCAGGACCATCAGGTGACGACGGAGAAGAAATCCCTCGCATAAAAGCGACCGACGACTCTCGTCCTCCTATCTTGATCAAATGGTGGGACGAGAACTCACAAGCCGCCGGCATAGTTATAAACCGTCAAAAGGAAGATGAAGAAGTGTGCCAGCTGAAGAAAGCGCTTGGAGAAGCCACTCGTATTGTAAATGTAAGTCTTCTGAGCGACGGCCTTCGGTAACTTTGTTTTCCTTTTAGCAGAACTGAACCATGATCCATCATGCAGAGAATCCATCTTCGCAATGAGGCCAAGACTACAACTTTGGAAAAGCTGGTTCCTCATTTGGGAACTCTAGAAGCAGTTAGGGACCAGCTGCATGAGGCCAAGGAGTGCGCCAAAAAGACAGAGAAAGAGTTAAGGGACCGAATCGCCCAGCTCCAGGATGCAAACTTCGAACTAAGTGGTTCATCAAAAGGTAATCATCCAGATATGTTCCATTGATTTATGCTATCATAATTGCATCCTGAACCATCTGGATCTCAAACAGCGCAAGCCGCCAGGATGGAACAGATGGCGAAGCAAATTGAAGCCCTGGAGAGAGACAAGATAGAACTGGCTGCGCAAAGGGACTCAGCCTTGAAGGAGGTCGAAGGTAACGCCAGCTAACAATCTGAGCTTCTCTCCTTATAATGCAACAGATGCTCATCATGAATGTGTTTTGCAGATCGCAAAATAAAATCGCAAGCCCAATTTGACGTCTTGGTTGGTAAGATCAAGAGGCTTGAAGGAGCAAGGGATGACGTCGCCAATGCCGCTGCACCAATTATCCAAGCCATGTTCCTCAATAATGGTGGTCCGAGTACACTCGACGCAACCGAAATATTTGACAAGCTGAGTGTTGCTCCGGAAGTATATTTCAAGAATATCAAGAAAGCTGGAAGTATGGGAGCTGGCATGGCCTTGGCGATGACAAAATCCTTGTACCCGAGAATTGAAGTCGACACCATTGATGGATTTGCAGACGGGACAAGTGAAGAAGCTGCTCTTGATCTTATCAATAATGCGCAGAGTGCGGCTGAAAAAATTGCGAGTGATGTTGTAGAGCAATTCCGCAACAATGACCTCCAGCCGAGCGATAATAACTCTGATGATGAAAGGACTGATTCTGACTGAGTGTAGATGTAATACATGGAGGCTCAATTTGTACAATACTGGTGTATTTATGCTGTGCTTGATGATTCTTGCAAAGTTTTTGATTTCTTAAAAGTTTTTGCTAAGCTTTGTTGAGCCTAAAACCCAAAGAAGCTATTAAAAACTTTCAGTCCTCGCAAACTAAGTAGAAAAACCAAACAAGGCAATGATAAACCAAGTAAACAAACTGAATTGATAAAAAATCACACTCCATTATTATGATGATAGCCCCCGACTGACAACTTCAAGGAGAAAACTTGATGTTTGACAGTCAAAATAGGGAAATACAATGATTAAGCGTAGAAACGACGAAGATGTTCAATGTTCCAAGAGTTGTCGACGAGAGTGCCGTCTTCGCGCTTGAGTCGATATGAACCTGGCCGGGTAACTTCAGAGATGATAAATGGCCCTTCCCATAGAGGAGATAACTTGTGCCGATCTCGTGTGGTTTGAATTTTCCGTAAAACCAGGTCGCCGACTAGAAAGGCACGAGATCGAACATTGCGATTATGATAACGTCGCAACCCTTGTAAGTACCGAGCTGACTGAATCAAAGCTGCTTCGCGGGCCTCTTCC